CTCTCGCGTGGGACGCCCGCACCCTCGCAGCCGGCGGATGCGCTCAGCCCGGCGTCCCCGCTAAGACGGGGGAGCCTGCGGGATGCCGCGTGGCACCGGGCGCGGGGTGGCCCGGGCAACCCCGGCGCGAAGCGGGGCCCAGCGGCCCTCCCGGAACCGAGGATGCTCTCGGGCCAGCCGAGCCAGCGCCAGGCAGTTGGGGCCAGGCCCACACGGGGCAGAGGGCTGCGCACATGGATCCCTGCACCCCGAAACGCCTCACACCTGGCTCCCTCCCAGCTCCTGCTCCGCAGATGGGCCAAACAGTTTGGCAGCCCTTGCCGGAGCTCGGGCAGATTTACTGCCTGCGACGTGCGGAGCTGAGAGATGAAGGTGAGGAGAAGGAGGGGAACGGCCCAGCTCATAAATAACCCGTGACTCTGGAGCGTCCGATTTTGGAGGAGAGGTGTCCTCCATGCAGGCTGGGTGTGCCGGGATGCCACCATGCAGGTGCTGGGGTGCCCTGACACCCCGGAGCCTACCCTGTGCAGCCCTTAAAGGCTTTGGGAGATAACCCTGACCCTCAGCAGGTCTCTCCTCCAGGGTCCCAGTGTTTTCCTGGATCAGGGCCACAGCCTGCCCTTCCCCTTTGCCTGGTCCGGACCCACTCCTAGGGCCTGCAGCGAGGCCCCGGGAGCCAGCTGGGAGCATAGCACGGGGCTCATCTCACCGCTGCGCGGCGTTGCACCAGGCCGGGCAGAACGAGCTGAGGACGAGAGCGAGCAGCACCCTACGTTTCGAGCCCTCCTTGTCCCAGGCTTTCCAGCAGGCACTGATCCAGGGGGAAGGAGGTGCACAGAGCCAACCCCCCCCCCAGCCTCCATCCCCTCCTCCCCGGCACAAGCGCCTGCCACACTCTTTAAAAAGGATTTCACTGAGGAAAGGCTTAATGACCTTTAATGCACTTAATCGGAGATTAAAAATGAGTGGGGCTTTCTGGTGGGTGGAGGAAACCCGCTGGCTTTTCTCTGGGAGCAAAGGCAGGGCCTTGTGCTGCTCTAAATTAAGATGTTAAAGGATGAGATTAAGGGAGGCCTGGCCAGGAATTCCCCCTTCTCCACCCAAAGAGACATCGTGTCCCCCTTGTTGAGGAGTAATAGGATGTTATGGCTTTTCTCTCTTTTTTTCCCTCCTCCTTTCTCCTGGGTAAGACCTGGAAGAGAAACATGCTCTATTATTTTGGGAAAGTCTTAGAAAAAGCAGTTTTCCCAAGGGCCCTCCCTCAGGAAAAACCTCCTTTGGGGGTCTCCTGTTGATGAGGAGGACCCCAGCAGTGCCCTGTCCCTGGAACAACCCAGCTGGGTCCTACTGAGGTGGGCACAGGCGAGACAGCATGGTGCAGGGACTGACCTCCTGGAGCTTGTCACCATCTCCCATCCCATCACTGGGGCAGGAGAAGCAACATGGATCCCAGCTGGGACCAAATAAATGCTCTTGTGATTCTTCACATCTCTGAGGCCTTGCTGGTGCTTGTGCAGCATGATGTAAGGCAGGATGTGGTGTAGCGCCAGTGCAGTGCCATATTGGTGCTGGCTGGTCTTAGCAGTTGATTTGGGAGAGCTGGAATCAGAAGGTCCCACATGGGACTGTAAATGGGTGTCATCTATCCTCTCCCACCTGCCATTTGCTATCCTCTCGTTTCCTCCCTGAAATGCACCCCCATTTCTGCAGTTTGTCCAGCACTCCGTGTCCAGGGGACATCAACCCCTCCTGCTCACTGCAAAGTGACGTTTGGCAGCAAATTGGATTGACCACTCCTTGCTGCACATAAATACTCAGCCCAGAAGCACTCTGCTCCATCAGGCACAGAGGAGCTTGGCTTGCACTGCCTGGAGGGCCCAGCCTTGGAAAGGTCACCAGCGCCAGCAAATATCCCCAGCAGCGGTGCCACTTGGATTGAATCCAGGGCTCCCTGAAGTGCTGAGTGGCTTCTGGTGGCACTGAGAATTAAAATGCTGAGTGTGCAAGATGGGCAGCCCACGCCGAAGCACTTGCAACCAGAGATTGCTCTGGGGAAACGCCGGCATCACCAAACTTCTTGCCGAGGCAGAAACTGGAAGCTGGAAGGAAAAGAAATATTTCTTTCGAGATTTCCGTTCCTACGGTGAAAATAAAAGCAACGCCATTTCTGAGTGATGGAGCAGAGACCACAGAGGCCTTTGCAAACAGCTCAGGTGCAATGCAGGAGAAATGGGTCATTTCCCTCTGCCCCGTATATCGAAGATATTTCAACTTGTGCTGGGCGTTGTGTGGCTGGCTGGATCCCATGGAGGCACCTGGCCT